GAGGAGGAGGAGGAGGAGGAGGAGCCAAGCCGCGGTGCGCGTGCGGCTCTCTCCGCGGCCCCCCTCCGGCGACTGCCCCCGCCGGGCGGGCGGGCCAGGGGCGCGCTCCGCCCCCTCGGAGGGCGGCCCCCCCCCTCCCGCCGCCAGCCTCGAACGTATCCCTATCCCTAAGATGGGCGAGCAAAACGCGAGGACAATCTTAGGGATCCGCCCTCAAAAAAGAAGGGAATGCCTAGGATTGGCATCGTGATGAGGAGGTGCCCAGCATAGGGATAGGGATATGTTCCAGGCTGGTAAAGAGCTGCGGGCCAGGTCTACGACGAGCGCGTTCCGCTACGCGCACATTGACTGCTCGCAGGTGGCCTGGCTCCCCCGCGGAGGAGCTACGACAAGTTGCACCAGAGTGGGCACGCGGTCTTCGGACGTTTGCGAGTTGGCACTTTGCGAGGAGTGGAACGCGCTCGGCGAAGGTCGGAGATCTGCTGACCCGGGCCAATCAGACCCGGGTCAGCAGGCAACCAGAAAACTGCGATGCAAGATAAAAAACTGCAGCACGGGGCTTCGCAAACCCGGGTCAGCCAATATGCGGGGCCGCCTCGCGGCCACGAGCGGCTCGCTAACCTGGGTCAGCCGGAGGGGGTCCTCGCAGGATCCTGCAGGATCCGGTGCCCTGGCTGGCCCCCGTTTGCATTGGCCCCGGGCTCAAGGCTCCCGACCCAGGAGCAGCCAGCATCGGACCTGGAAGTCGAACCGGATCGGACCTCTGGCTGCCCCAAGGCGCAACACGCGACACGCAGCGTGCTGGCATGGAGCTCCACGCGTAGACTGAGCACGCAGGTGTGGCGCGATACGCTCGCCAAAACGTGGGCCAGCACCCTGAGCCAGCAAGCAACGTTGGAAGAGTAACACAAAGCCGTAAACGTAAACTTTTGGCGCTCCGCGCGGAGCGCCAAAAGTTTATGTTTATGTTTATGTTTCCTCTCTCGAAATACGCAACGTGTTGACACGGACGCTTTGAGTACGGCACGTGTTGCGTTTCAAGACAAGCCTATCATAGGAGCAGCTAAGGACCGGACTGTGCGTCGGATCGGGCCGCGCCGGTGCGGAGCCGACATCGGATCGCATTGGCGGCGCCAGGATGCGCAGCAGCGCCATGCACGCAT